ATAGTAGTAGTGAGGAACAGAGTGAAATTGAAAGGAAGGTAGGAACAGGATGTCCTCTATTATAGGAAACACTGGATTTTATCCTGAATGTAATGGAAAGCAATTGAAGAGATTTTAGAACATAAGTGATAGTTTCCTACATACATTTTAAAAATATTACTCTATGGGCCGGCGTTGTGGTGTAGTGGGTAAATCCACTGCCTGTGATACCAGCATCCCATAAGGGCACTGGTTTGTGTCCTGGCTGCTCCACTTCCATTCCAGCTCCCTGCTAATGGCCTAGGAAAGCAGCGGAAGATGGCCCAAGTGTTTGGATCCTTATACCAGCATGGGAGATCTAGAAGAAGCTCCTGACTCCAGGTTTGGGCCTGGCCCAGCCCTGGCCATTGTGGCCATTTGGGGAGTGCACCAGCAGATGAAGACTGATTCTCTCTCTCTCTGTCTTTCTTGCTCGCTCTCATCCTCTCACTGTGTGTAACTGCGACTTTCAAATAAATAATCTTTTAAAAAATATTACTCTGAAACAGCCATCACCGTAGTGGTTACACCACCAGTTAAGACACCCAAGTGCCTGGGTTTGCTGGCTGGCTATGGCTACTGACTTGGCTTCCTGCTAATGCAGACACTGGGAGGTGATGGTGATGACTCAGTTAATTGGGTCCCTGCCACCCACATAGGAAGTTTGGATGATATTCTCAGTTTCTGGCTTTGGCCTAGCCCTGCCCTGGCCATTGTAGGCGTTTGGGTAGTGAACCAGCAGATAGTAGCCTTCTGTCTGTCTCTTTCTTCCTTGCAAATAAAAATTGAAAAAACCTTACTCTGCTGTATGGAAAATAGGTTGGAGAGAGCATGACAAGATCAAGGGAGAGGAATAAAAGGCTATTGTAGTCCAGGTGAGAAATGATAATCAAATGGTTTAGAGTAGAGTCATTGAACTTGAACTAGAACTTACTGAATATAATTCCAGACAGCAAAGACTTAGTCTCTTGATTGCTGTTGTATCCAGGCCTATGCTTGAGGTTTCTGGAGCTCAGGGCAGAAGAACAAATAAAGGTCACATACCATCTGTCTAAATATTTAAGTTGTAAATCTAGCCAATAAACTATAAAATAAATGTTCTTTATCCTTCTGCCAGGACAATGTAACTTTTCAAGGATAAAATCCAAAAGTATAGTGAGAGCTGTGGTTTTTATGTGACTAAAAATTTACCAAATATCAGAGACAACTGTATTTTCTCATTAATGCGTGTGTACCATTATTTGGACAGTGATATTTGGATGACCTATATTAAGAACAGAAATAATTCTGAAATTCTTGAATACTTACACCAAATAAGTTATTTTTCTTTTCTTCATTTCAGTAAAATTATGGTGTTGGGAAGGCCATTTAGTATGCCAGTCAAAAACTTCACTTGGGATGCTCTCATTACATACTGGCATACCCTGGTTCAAGTCCTGGTTGTACTTTTGAGTCCAAATTCCTGCTAATGTGTACCCTGGGAGGCAGCAGGTAATGGTTTGAGTTATAAGGTTCCTGCCACCCACATAGGAGACCTGGAATGAATTCTTACCTCTTTGCTTTGACCTCAGCCTAGCCTCAGCTGTTGAGAACATTTGGAGAGTGAAGCTAAGCAGGTGGGAGCTCTCTGTCTCTCCCTGTTTCTCTGTATTTCAGATAAATCAATAGGAAATTTAAACAATTATTATGGTATTATAATCATGATTTATAATGTGTTTTTGTTTGTTGTGTAACTTGTTTCTGTTGACAGTTATGATCTAATGCAAGGTTCTGCAGACTAAGACTAAAACCAAAGCTATCCACCATCATTCACTTACAATTTATTTACAGTTCCTTTTGCTGTACAGTAGCAGAGATATGTATTCACAACAGTCCAAAATGTTTCCTTTTTAGTGCTTCACAGAAGAAGTTTGTTGATTTCTGATCTACAGAACTAAAAATTAAACTGCATATGTATTTGAAGTGTGGACAATTTGAATCTATTTCCATCATATTCCTATAAGCATGCTTATAAGTTAATTATAAAATTAGTAAAGTTAAAATTATCTTTAAATGTTTCCAATAAATATATTTTATAATATTCAAAATTATGTTATAATTAAAAGACTTAATGTAGAATATTAGTCAATATTTAAAATTATACCAAGTATATTTAAATATAGCTGAAATTTTTGACATTTTATTAAATTTTAATACCTGTTTTCATAAAGATAAAATAATTTACAATTTGTGTTCAATTTCTTCCATTTGCCAATGTAAAGGATTAGTGGCAGATTTTGTGCATATTATATTATAACCTACACATAGTCAAATTTTTTTTTTTTATTTTTTTTATTTTTTTTATTTTTTGACAGGCAGAGTGGACAGTGAGAGAGAGAGAGACAGAGAGAAAGGTCTTCCTTTGCCGTTGGTTCACCCTCCAATGGCCGCCGCGGCCGGCGCGCTGCGGCCGGCGCACCGCGCTGATCCGATGGCAGGAGCCAGGAGCCAGGTGCTTTTCCTGGTCTCCCATGGGGTGCAGGGCCCAAGCACCTGGGCCATCCTCCACTGCACTCCCTGGCCACAGCAGAGGGCTGGCCTGGAAGAGGGGCAACCGGGACAGAATCCGGCGCCCTGACCGGGACTAGAACCCGGTGTGCCGGCGCCGCTAGGCGGAGGATTAGCCTAGTGAGCCGCGGCGCCGGCCTACACATAGTCAAATTTAAGGAGGCTATGAGTAGTTTAGTTCTAAGATATGCCTAAGCTGCTATATGCAATAGTTGTGTATCTTGGTTGAGTTTGTAAACTTCCAAAACAAACTATGAAAGGAAACCAGCAGATTCTGATTAAAGAAAATAGATATTCAGCACTACTGGGAATAGAGACTTCTTTATGCAAGAATCCGGTACACTCATGCTGCCTCAGAAGAATCTGACAAATCAATTTCTCTTTCTCATGTTTAAATCATTCCACTGCTCAAAACTGCCCACACCACAAGGCACCATGTAGCTCTCTTGTCTGCAGTTTTGCACTTTAACCACAATCCACAACCCTTCCTCACATGCAGACACTGTCTCGCTTTCTTCAATGACATCCTCCGAAAGAGGCACAGAGACATTTTCCCATGCTATTACATCATTCCACAAAAGAGCAGGAAGTACTGGTTGTGTTTCCAAGAAGGAAGTCCCAAATCCTGAGCTACAGGAGCCCCAGTGTGTTTTCTAATCACTTCTGATGAGAACGTGTTTGTGACTGGGAGCCTGTCTATTTGTAGGATTCAGTATGTCAAATAATAGAGCAGTGCAGTATCTAGAGTGCAAACTACAGACATGCACGAAGAAATAAACAGAAACAGAAGAGTGGAAAGTTTTAATATTTAAATCTATGAAAGATAATGTAGGTAAAAAATAATTTAAATAAAGTCATTGATGAAAGTGACTCTGAGAATAGAGAATGTATCTTCTTTTCACAGGCCTTTAGAAAGATAGAAATAGAATGGCCTTTATAGAGTAGGAAGAAATTTTAGAAAATTTCAAGAAGCTTGAAATATTGAGTCCCCATCACTGATTGCAATGCAATAAATCAAAATATATCAAAACCTGACAATATGGACCCTTTGAGAAGCAATTCTTTATTTGAGGAAATGTATCAAACCCAACATTTGAAAAATAATTACATGTCATTGATAGTGAAAATATAACACATGTAAGTTTAGGGGTTACAGCTAAAGCTGTGCTTAGAGGAAAATATATAGCCTTGAACACTTGAATAACAATAACAGTGAAAGGGAATGAAGCGTCTGATTTAAAATAACAGCCAAACAAACAGAATGCAGACAGAACTAGAAAATAAAGATAAAAATTAAAAATTCAGGGACTAGTGTTGTGGCATAGTACGTAAAGCAGCCACCTGCGATGCTAGCATCCCATTTGGGAACTGGTTCACATCCTGGCCTGCTCCACTTCCAATCCAGCTCCCTGCCAATGGCCTGAGAAAACAGTGGAAGACAGCCCAAGTGTTTGGGCCCCTGACACCTTTGTGGGAGACCTGGATGAAGTTCCTTCTTCCTTGCTTCTGCCTGGCCAAGTGCTGGCTGTTGTGCCTTTCTGGAAAGTGAACCAGCGGATAGAAGATCACTCTGTCTCCATCTGAATTCTGACTTTCAAATAAATAAACAAATCTTAAATCACACATTTAGTTTTTTAATTTAAGAAATGCAATATTTATCATAAATAAACCCAGATGTTTTTTCTTTGAAAAGAATGCCAAACACAGAAATAGTCTATTAAATAGCCTACTTGTGAAAAGGGTAGTGAGCCTGTACACACACACACACACACACACGAAATGAAGCTACAAGTAGAAAGGAAGGAAGCAACCATGGCTAATGAAGAAATACAAACAATCAAAGCAGAACCTTTGCAAGATGTTTTGAAAGTAACTTTGGCAGTCTTGATGGAATTGATTTTTATATAAATAAATATTACTTAAATGTACCCAAATGAAAAACGAGAGAAACTTTAATAGCATTGGAAAAAAAAATCTTAGGAAGTTATCAAAGATCTGAAAAAGCTCCAGGCCTTTATGCTTTCAGAGGCAAATTATCTTGAACTTTCAAGGAACAGATATTGATAATCCTATTTAAAATGGGAACTGATAATGTTAATTTTATGTCTGCATAATGGAGTAGGTAGAATGCAGAGGTTCTGTGTTTAGCTAGGGAACAATCTCCAAATATATTAAGAACAAAAAGCAAGATACAGAGTATTGTGTGTTATACCACCATTGGAGTAAATCTGTGTGTGCGTGGGTGTGTGCCCATGTGAGGTATTGTCTTTAAAGGAATACAAAGCAACTGATAACAATGATTGCCTCGGGAGAAGGGACTAGGCAACTGGAAGACAGGTAGGAGGCAGATGCTTTTTAATTTATTCCTTTGTATTTTTGAATTTGATATTCTGTGCATAAATTATTTTGTCAAAGAATTATATAAAAATAAAATTATCCAAAGTACAAATTTTAAGAAAACTGTCAATGTGGTTTTTTAAAAGTATTTATTTATGTAAGAGAAAGAAAGAGAGAAACAGAGTGAGCGTGCTAGCCCCCATCCAATGTTTTACTCTTCAATTGCATGAAATGGCTGGGGTTGGGAGGCAGGCCAAAGCCAGGAGCTAGGAACTTAATTCAGATATCCCACATAGGTGGCAGGAAGCAAATCAGTGAAGTTCTCACTGTTGTCTCTTAGTTTGTACATTAGCAGTAATTAGGAGTCAAGCACAGGAACTGAGAATCAAACCCAGGTACTCCAATATGGGATGCGGTCATCTTAATCATTAGGCCAAACACCCTCTCGCCCAATCAGTGTCTGAGAAAGACCAAATAAAATAGAAACAAGAAATCAATCTCGTTTATGGACTCATCCTGAAAATTTGAAGTTAATAAACATAATCAGATTATTAAAAAAGAATATTCACCTTATCAAAAAGGCTGCATATTCCCAGAATGCACATGTGACTCAATAAATAATGGGCAACGTGTTAATGTGTTCTTTACTGTCCCACACTGCTTCTCCAGTGGCAGAGCTGACTATGAACTGTCAGTTCATCAAAAACTGTAACTATGTTTCTATCACTGACTTTAGCAAATCAAAAATGCCGTTTAAACGGGGAAGCGATTGTGGTGCCTGAATTAAGCCACTGCTTTGGATACCCACATTCCATAGCTGAGTACCAGTTTGAGTGCTTGTTATTCCACTTCTGACTGAACTGCTCATCCGATCCAGCCTCCTGGTAATGTACTTGGGAGAGGTGAATGATGGTGGGCTCCTGCCACCAATATTGGACACCTGGGTGGAGTTCCTGGCTCCTGGCTTTGACCTGGCATAGCCCTGGCTGTTTGGGGCATTTGGGAAGTGAACCATGGATAGAAGATCTCTCTCTCTCTCTCTCTGCCCTTCTACACTTCTTCCCTCTCTTCCTCCCTTCCTCTTTCTGTCTCTTTGTCTTTCAAGTAAAATCAATAATTAGACATCATGATGACAGAAATTTTAAAATGTGAAAAACTACCTTAGGATCAATGAAATACTGTATCCATCTATCCATTTTTTCCTTTTGTTTCTTTCTCTTCATATCTATCTATCTATATAATTTTAATCTAACTGGAATATATACTTGTGTCTATCCAGAATATAATATGTAGATGTAGTTGTAAGGGGAAAAATAGCAAGTAGAATAGTGTGCATACTATAGTAGAATCTGTGTATTTTTTATTTCATTTTTTATAAAGTTTTATTTATTTATTTTCCTGAAAGGCAGAGAGAGAGAGAGAGAGAGAGAGAGAAAGAAACAGCTGGTTCACTCGCCAAATGGCTGCAATAGGCAAGCCTATGCCAGACCAAAGCCAGGATCCTGGAACTCCATCTTGGTCTCCAACGTCGGTTGCAGAAGCCCAAACACTTGAGCCATCAGTCTCTGTTTCCTTGGGTGCATTAACAGGAAGCTGAATCAAAAGTGCAGTAGTCAGGAACTGGCACTCTGAACTGGATGGCAGGATTTCAAGCAGTGGCTTAACCTGCTGCTGTACAACACTGGCCCCTGTGCACTTTCTAAAAAGAGATTTAAATAGCTGCATTGTGTGTATGTTTTCCCTTAGAAAGACTTAGATAAAATTATAAAGAACATCCATCTAACAAAGAGCTAGGTGAGGAGGGTAGTGGATAATGAAAGTGGAAAAGGAAAGCTTTTACTTACTGTGTTTCTGTACTGTTTCAATTCTCTAATCTTTTTCTTCCTTCACATTTATTTTTAAAAATCAACAGAAATTATCATAGCAGAGAGATAAGGGCCATGCTAGGTTACTGTAGCAGAAGGTACCAGTGCACTGCCCAGGGACTGCCTTTAACCATTGCTATTGAGCCCCTCCCAAATTTGTGCATTGCCTTTGCATTGGCTGCAGCTACTGTCTTTGCAGGACCACCTGGAGCTGCCTCCCTGGCCAGGTGTGCTGAGAGCTAGAAGTGCTGGGGAATTTACAAACCCCAGTTCCATCCTTAGCCAGGAATGCAAAGGTGAGGGAGTGAGGAAGTCCAGTTCCCTTGACCCTGGGGGAAAACTCCCTTCAGAGGCTTGGGCCTCAGTCACACCCTTGCCTGCTTCTTGCCTTTGCCTGTGCTGTTTCTGGCCACCCCTTCTGCAGTTTCTCTAAGAGTGCTTCCTTAATAAGTCATCTCCTTAACATCTGATTCTGAAGTGCTTTTATTCTACTTTGAATTGGTGGACTCTTACAAAGAAATTTCTGAATGTCAAATATGTTTGTATGTTTATGCATAATAACAGCATACAGTAGAACTGAGTGCTGCCAAGACAATAAGAAAAAGAGGACTAGCTTCCTTCCATTGGGCATTCTTGTGTCCTATGGACACTAGAATCTTTTTTATTTTTAAATTTGACTGGAGCCTCTGCTTTGCCTATTTCAGTAAAAGGATACCTGCCTCCCAACTTCAACATAGCTATTCATTTTCCTATACATCCTTGAGGGCAATTATTCTGCTACTTATTGCTAATGTATTATGCAAGTTCCTAACAACTTCTGGGGCTCATCGTGGTAAATTCTCTGTGAAAAAAAAAAATGTTTTATTGAAGGACAGTCTCAAGATGGAATTACAAATGGCTGTGAAGAACTCTGCCTACTTTAAGAAGGACCATATTATGATTCCTCAGTAGTAGCCTCAGTGGGCCAGTGAATTACCAAAAAGCACTTTGCTCATAGATGGCAGTGGTGCCTCTGAGCCCACAGGTTATTGTCAAGTACAGCATGTCATTTGGGTGCAGCACCTTTGCATTTTTAATTATGTGTTATCTCCCGGTTGCTCATTTACAACAGGTCTGTTATTCAGGAATGTGAACCAGCAAATATTTAGGCTTATCAGGTCATTTGTGTATTCTGGCAATATTCAAAGTATTTATAACCCCCTGCCATCTTTATACTGAATGTGTGCCTGCATTTAGAGCCATAAATTTCTCTGGATTTGAGTGGCTCTTGACAGTGGGATTTTTAACTGTAACATAGTCTCTGTGTGAATGTGTATGTACATATCCATATACGTGGGTATTTTGACACCCACGAGCAGAATAATTTATAGCATAACACACGTACAGATTTAAAAAAAATACTACTCCTGTCATAAACAGCTTCGTGCTTTCTTGTTAGGTTCTCAGAGGGAGAAACACTTTAGAAGGTGCTTATTTCTTTGGAGGTAGATGAGGAGTCAGACAGGAAGCCATCCTGATGGAAGGCTGCTGATTCTGCTGTCAGGGCATCTGGCAACAGCCTCCAACAGAGGTCACCAAATCTTCTAGCCCATTGCGACGTTGTTTGGAACTAGCCGACCACCTGAAAGACCCTGGGAACCACCTCTTTAGTAATTACACATGGGCAGACATCACTTGCGAAAGGAGGCATGAACACAATCGAAGATGACAAAATAGTAAGCCTCACTTTCATTCTCCTTTCCTTCTCGTTTGTGTCTTTAATAAGGCTCATGTCCTTGGCTGGCTCTCGGATGTCCTCTGCCTTCATTGTGCTTTTTGAGAGGCAAGGCAAAGTCTTAGGCAACAGAGACTTTCCCTGCAGAGTGCAATGTTCCCATTTGTCCTGGCTCACCCATTACTCAGAGCTGACATTTGGTTGATACTTAAAAGACCTGGAATCCACTTTAGCTCTTCAAGTAAGGTACTGGGTGCCTCCCTCAGGCATAGTATAGTTTTCACATCTTATCATGGGTGTTTGTTTTCTCTGTAAGGTTCTACCTTCTTGACAGCTGGAACCATGCTTTGAATTTCACCTGTACCTCCCACGCATGTGACATATTCTAGTAGGTCTGCAATCCTGTTATGCAGTAAATACTTGTTAGTTGGGCTTCTTCCAAGGCTTCTGCTTAGCTCAACAATAGTTTGAAGTAGGACTGGTCAGACAGGAAGTTTTAGCTAAACATTCATTTGCTTATTCAGTAGCTCAGGGAATTGGTGTATAGGATTCTCAGCAAGATATTTTGTTGGGCTTATACTGGTGGTTTTTGAACCATTTTTCCCTTTAGCTGAGGTGTGCTCTTTTTAATGGGCTCCACTATGGAGAAACAAGATGCATAGCACGTGAAAGAGGGGTGGTTGCATTTGAAGCAGAGGTGCAAGATAGACTGCACTTGAACAACCTCCTATCCTCCCCATTTTCCCAGACACCTACAAACCAAGTGGCCTGTGAATCATCTGGTATCAGCAGGGCTCCTCTGAGAATAGTCTGTAAACCATTTATCTACAGAAAATGTCTTTGAGTGTATTACTACCTTGGGTTCACCCTTTTTGGAAACAGATTTTATTTTCTAAAGCAATTATAGGTTTACAGAAAAATTGTGCAGAAGGTACAGACATATCCATATATTCACTCTCCCTTAGTTCGCAGGTTCCTTTATGGTTAGCTTCTTGCATTGATGTGGTGTATCTGTTACAATGGATGAGCCCACGTTGATACACTGGTATTAACCAAAGTCCTTAGTTTGTATTAGGATCTACTCTGTATGGTACAGTCATTTGTGTATGTAGCTAGCATGATATCATACAGAATGTTTATACTTCTCTACCAATGCCCCCTACTCTAGGTGTGCATTCCGTGACCCAGCATTTTTAAAGGTGCCTTGGTAAGCTTAGGAATAGTGGGAACAGGGATCGGGTTTGATCCTTAAGCAGGTCCGCTCTATATCTTCGTCACAGTTGGAAATAACTCCTGGTTTATATTCTCAAAAAGGGAATTGAGATTGCAGATTATGATTATAATCCTGTTCTGGTAACTCATTTGACCACTTGCAGCTTTTGTGTTTTGGAAAAGTTGTAAATTTATCAGTGATGCTAAATGTCAAAGTAAATTTCACTGGAACAAGGCCATGCTTATTGAGAATGTGTTGTGATGTATTTGAATTTAATATGTATGAATATGTGGACAAAGGTTAATTTGGACTCTTTTCATGTCCAGAAGCTAGACTTGCCCTTCCTTCACTGATTTGGGAAATACTTTTTCTTTACTTTCGGAAGCCTGCCTTTGACTTTGGTGCATTGCTAATTATGTGCCCAATTTTCGTACAACACTGACAATGAATACAAAATATTAATAAACCAACAAGACAAGCAGTTTTCAAAAATCACATTATGTATACTTACTGCCTAACTGACCTTTTCTGCAGTAACTTAAATCTTTAAGAAATCCATTTAATTTCAAAGCCAAAGTATTAGCCTATTTATATGTAAATTATCTTTAATTCATGCATTGATTTAAAAGACTAATCCAAAAGATCTTTTACCACAAGTGACCTTTTTGACTCTGTACTTCTGGGAAAACTGCGAAGTGGCTTCTTGGTGACCTCATCTCCACCTGTGGTCCAACACATGCCAGCTCTGGTCTGTATAAATCACTCACAATCACAGAGCTCTCAGCTGACACTGAATTATTAACGGAGTCATTGTTTTAGTTCCTATCACAGTTTCCACAGGACAATTTGTAGGGATGATTTTTTTCTACCTCATCTAGCATATTCTTTCTACTTTCAACCAACACATCTAGTTAGAATCTTTTCTAAGAAATATGATCTATTATTCAGAGGACACAGAATAAGGAGCTTAATGCTTTCTGTTTCCAAAGGCCTTAGATGTCAGAGAATCCTAAGTTTATATTACTGCCTACTATCCATATCTGAGAAGCCAGAGAATTGTAGGAATACTGTCAGTATTCTTGTTGCAGTGTTAGTGTTTATTCAACTTTTGGTTTTCTGACTGTGTTTAGTTTACTTTAGGGAATATCTTTAGACAGAGTCCATCACCAATTATCATATATATTTTTGAATTATTTAGTCTTGTCATTAGTGGGTAAAAAGCAAATAATGTAAGTTGTAACCTATATAAAATAGTTGAAGTAAAACTGATTATGCCATATGTAATATATTTATATTCATATATTTCCTCCAACTCTTTTTTGATATTGATATCTCTATATAATGATATCTCATCAAGATGTTAAATTATTTATTTATTTATTTGAGGATAGAGTGACAGAGAGAGAGAGAGAGGAAGAAGCAGTGAGAGAGAGATTGTCCAACCAGAGGGTCACAACAGAGGCACCTGGACCAGGCCAAAACCAGGAGACAGTAGCTCCATCTGGGTCTCCCATGTGAGGGACAGGGACTCAGGCTCTTGAGTCATCATCTTTTGCTTCCCAGGCACAGTTGCAGGGAGGTTGTTGGAAACTTGAGTAGCAGGAATAGAACCAGCACTCCAATATGCAATGAAGGAATCCCAATCAGTGGTTAACCTGCTGTGCCACATCTGCCTCTCTGTCTGTCAAATTTTAACCTGAGGTATATGAGGGGAGGCCACGAGTGCCCAGAATCAGATGCAAATGTCTATATGTATGTATGCATTTGTATAAATTGTCAGTGTCTTGAATAACTCTCTGGGGTGAGAATACTAATTTAAACTATAATATGAATGCGAATATCCCAGTTGCTCTGGAACTACATGGCATGAGGTCCTACATATGTACAAACTTTCCTCACTCTATCTCTCACCCCCAATATCTAGATCTTTCTTAATTTTTAAAATTCTTAGTTTTTTAATTGTCATTTAAAATTTTTATTTGTATTTATTTGAAAGGCAGAGATACAGAGAGAGAAAGAGATCTTTCATCTGCTTGTTCACCCAATGGCCTCAGTGGCCAGGGCTGGGACAGGCCAAAGTCGGGAGCCTGGAACTTCATCCTGGTCTCCCACATGGGTGCAGGGGCCCAAATATTTGGGTCATCTTCAGCTGCTTTTCCAAGCATGCTAGCAGGAAGTGAATTGGAAGTGGAGCATCCTGGACTAGAACAGACCCCGATACGGGATGCAGCACTGCAGGCAACGGATTAACCCGCTGTGCCACAATGCAGTCCTCAATTTTTCTTAAATTTTTAAGAAAGTTCATGTGGGGCAGGCATTTGACTCAGTGAGTTAAGCCACAAATTGAGATGCTTGCATCCAAGTACCAGCTCTATTTCTCCATTCAGCTCAGCTTCCTGCTAACGTGTACCCTGGCAGGCTGCAGATAATGACTCAAGTACTTGAGTCCCTACCACTCATGCAGAGACCTAGTGTGAATTCCAGGCTCCTGACTTTGGGGTCAGCTCTGGCTGTTACAGCATTTAAGGATTGAGCTAGCACATGCAAAGTCTCTTTGACACACACTCTCTCTCTGCCTTTCATATAAATAAATAAACCACTTAGTTAGTGAACCAGAGCATGGAACATGGCTCTTTCCTTTCCTGTCATCTTGCATTTCTGATAAATAAGTATTTTTTTTCAAAAGGATGCATATATTTTGGTGTCCCAAAGTTTAGAATCCATGCTTCATTTTTTTGTATTATGTGTTTCCCATGAATTCTTCAAGACCAATCATATAGTTACTCCATTAACACAAAACTCATGGGCACCAGTACTGTTACTAAACACCTGAATAAAGCATTTCCAAAACTTACATTTTCTTTGTAGTACACAATACAGCCTACCACGCTGAGGAGGCATTTTAATGCAAAATCACAATGAAGCACACAAATGGCTCTAAATAGTGCGTGGAGGACCCTTGTTTACAGGTTGAGAGCAGAAACCAGGAGGCCGAGCCTCACCTTCTCCCACTTCCATGGACAGTGTGTGTATCAGGTGAGAACTTTTTCACTGCTCTGCAGATGATTTACGAAAATGATGTGAGTATGGATTTTGAGATAACAACATTTAAAAATATCGAGCAGGCAAATACAGGATGCATGAGTAGTAGAGATCAACCATAAATATATTTGTAAAGCATGTGCAAGTTTTATTGTCCCCAGAGTGAGAAGACAGAGGAACCTTGCCCTAAGGATCTTGCTTGCTTTCAGGCAGGGGACACAGATATTAAATAATTATCCAGATAGCTCCCTAATTACATTGGTGAGACCTTGTAATGGAAGGTTACCTGGTGTTGTTAAAACACGTAACGAACTACTCCATCCAGGCTGAGGGATCAAGGAGCTTGCCGCTGAGGAATTGGCATCTGAACCATACTCAGGAAGACGGGTAAAAATGCAAGAAACCATTTGTGTAAGAAATAAATTGGGACAGGGACTTTACGCTATTCCACATGTCCTGTTATTTTGTTCTTCTCTTTAAGATAGAGTTGGTGGCATTTATATTTTTAAAAAAAGCATGTGTTTTACGTTTAGCAAAGCACTTTGCTTTATGCTTGGGACACTATTTGGTTGTATGGATCAGTGCTGGAAGCTCCTACTGCCCATCCTTGCCTTGGGAACTGCAGCGAGATGATGGCAGCAGAATAGTTTAACACACAGTGGGGAGTACAATATCTCTGGGATAAAGATTCTTTGTCTTCTCCATCTTCTGAGTTTTCTTCTCTTTTTCTCTTGTTTGCCCTCCCCCAGTCTGTTCTTTGAAATTGACTTCTCCTTTAGAGATGATCACAAAGACAGTGAAGGGTAGAAGGAACTCTCTGATCATACTCAGTGCGATAAACAAGATGGCAGCCTTTCTGGAAGTTGAATAAGCCTACATCTCTAATGAGGACTTCATTTTGTATACTGGGAATTTGCTAAAAGAGTAGAGGATAGGTGCCATTAGTCTAAAAATGGGAAGTAGATGATGCGTATGTTAATTTGTGATAATCACTTCACTGTGTGAAAATATGTTAAAACATGATATTATATCCCTTAAATATATACAGTTAGAAAGTAAAGAAAAAGACATGTACTTCTTCATGTCTGTCTTCTCTCAGATTTGTCTGATACAATACCAGCCTTTCAAGATGGTGAATGTAATTATACATAAACATTAATTTGATGGTATGTGCCTGATATCATGGTAGCATTTCACATGCCTTATCTGTATGAAGTCCTTAAGGTAGTTTTCATTAGTATCTCCATTTTACAGATCAAATAACTGAGGCTAAAGGAGGTGAAGTAACTTCTTGGAAGTCACTGTGTGAGCAGAGCTAGAGTTTGAGCCATCTCTACCCTTAAGCATATTATTCTACATTTCTTTCTTCCTGAAATCCTGTGATTTACCTAGTAACTTTAGGGATTTTAGTTTAAATGACAACTAAATTGTAATGGCAAAATATAAAGTTTTTTTTTTTATTTTCATGAGTTACCTGTGAGTTATATTCTAGTTTCTTGATTTCTTATCAGAAAACACCATTGCCTCCTTACCACAGTCTATACAATTTTATACATGAGAAAATGTAGGCACTCAGTGGTTAAAGGTCTTGTCCCGAATCAAGGTATTTGGAACATCAGTTCAGAGGTGTGTCTGGAATATCAGCCTAAGGCTGTCTTTCTTTTTTTGACTATCAACTTCTCTTCTAAAAAAGAGCTATTAAAATTATTGGTTTTATTTTATTTTTTCCAATTCCAATACAATTCCTGTTGAATACAGGAAAGTTATAAAATATGCACATGAACAACCGAAATTCAGACATTAATCATGAAAAGTGTTTTGTGGCTTTCTCTGTTTGATGCATCTGTGTTAGTTGTGTGTTAGCATAAACCTTTTTGCTCCTGGAGAGAAAGGACAATTTCATTCTCCTACAATGCCTGTCTTCTTACTAAGCATGTGGTTAATTCTCAGGAAGTACTTCTTATTTTAAATTAAAGTGCTTCACCTACTGCCTAGCGCACTCCTTTTGCAACTACAGGAAGCAGCAGCAAATCCCCAAAGCCTCAGGTGGGACAGAATCCCGTTTCATGTCATTTGCAGATTCTGTCCCCTCTTCCTGGGAAACTGGTCAGTCACTGTGGTATTTGGGGGAATGAAACTCAGGTCAGCTTTGAGACACAGCAGAGAGCCAAGCTGTAGCAGGGAATAAAGACTCTACTAGTCGCTGCTCCTGACGGGACACGGTGAATGTCACGAGGATGAATCAGCGAGGCCCTTCCTTCATGAGGATTTAATGATGTGTTCTCTGCCTGTGTCTTGAGAAGTAGGTCTTGGACTTCCACCAGCCTGCATTCCATCACCACAGCAGGCCACTCCTGTCATTACCTCCTTCGTCACCCAAGATCTCCATCACCACGAGCAAGGACTGCTCTCTCTAGTCATTCTCTGACCTACTGCTGCTGAGTTCCTGCTGATGCTTTGTACCTTTCCAGCTGTTTTTCTCTGTCCCATTTTTCATCCTTCTTGCCTGTATTCCTCACTTTGGGCAGGTTCTGAAGTTTACTCATCAACCACATTGCTCTTGTCTTGTGATAGAGAGATTTCCAGAAGCTTCATTCAGATTCCTGACTTCAATGATTCCCCTGTGGATGGAGATCACCTGAGAGTCTGTTGCAGCTACATCCTTAGCTTCTGTCCAGATTCTCATTTTCCTGGCAGGAAGTGCAGGGAGTGTATGGAACAGGAGCCTGGTGATAGCAGGTCATCTTACTTCCCTGTCTTAATCCATTTAGACTGCTACAACAAAATGCCATATGCGGAGTAACTTATAAACAACAGACATTTATTTTTCACAGTTCTGGAAGATGAGAGGTCCTGTTTGGTGTCTGGTGAGGGGTCAGTTTCTAGTACATAGGGAATCTCTTTTTGCTGTTGTCCTCTCATGGTGGAAAGGGAGAGCTCTAACCTCTTGGGCCCCTAGATGAGCCCTCAGCCCTTTCAAGAAGGCTATCGTCTCATGTGCTAGTCAGCTTCCCAGGGTGCCACCTCCTAAGACCTTCACCTTGGTGACTAGGCTTCAACATGGATTTTGGAGGGACATATTCAATCTATAGCACATCCCCAGGGCTAAAGCAGTGAAGCGAGCAGTTACCAGAACATGTAATGAGAGAGATCAGCACACAGCAGGCCACTGAGAAGAGGAATAATATTCAAGGGATGAAAATAGCCAGTCTTACCCCTTGCAGGGTGGTCCCCATCCTGGAACCTTCAGCTACTTTCTGGCCAGGCTTTCTATTGACACAATGCAACTCCAAGTCAAAGGATGCAGGAGCCTCATCTCTGTTCCACAGGATTTGATGTGCCATTTAGTCTTCATTTTCAATGATTTTTCTTTGGGTCCTTAATTCTTTCATTTAGGTTCTACTTGTGTGATTCTTGACAGATGCAGAAATAGTCTTTTTGTTCTTTTGTGTGCCTTTGAGTTACTAGTGTAGCAAAGTAGTTGACATATGGTAAGCTCGCTGGTAAAGTAATAACTTAATGAGGCATTAAGTGAAATTGAGATCCTAAAACTTGGCAATCAGCAAGAAGACTTTTTAAAAGTTTCGAACTGATGAGAATGGGCTCACATGTTCCTTCCCTCTTTGTTTGGCTTTCTCTCTCCTGAGGAATGTTAAGTGTATTGGAAACAAATGGTGATCTTTGGAGTCAAGAGACCTGGGGTATTGTCTATGCTTTTGCAATTTTTACCTGTTTCTTTTTGGTCAAATAACATCTTTGTTGAGTTGTAGTTTCTTTCTCAATAACAGTATCTTTCAAACACACCTTATTTAAAAACAAATACATCCTTCATTCAGTCAAATAATGATAGTATATAGATGGGCTTTTTAAAAAAATGAACAATATAAAAAGAGATGCATTGGTCAGAACAATGTGATGTACTTGATCTGCACTGACACAGTTTGGCAGCCACTGATCTATAAAAATATGTTTGGTAATATCTGCTCTGCTTAGCTCTCTGAGTCCTCTTAAGGATCAATGAAGTAAGGTTTGGGAATGAGTTTTATAAAATGTACTTTGTTCTATCCATCATAATATCATCATGAAGATAAGTTTACCATTTCTGTATCTCACTTAAGCTCATTGACCAAATGTGTAACTCCAAACCCAGACTCAAAATTGTATATTCTTAAAATTAGCAGCTTACTTACATCCAGTAGGCACGTTTTAATGCTATAGGACTGAATTTAGAAACACTTGGAAAATCTTAATCAAGAAAGTTATTGAGGGCAAAATGATCATGCTGCTTTCTGAAAGAAGATGATATTAAGCTAGGAATTGGCCTGGTATTGTTCGGCATTAATTAAAGTTGTAACAAGTCACAATTCCACAGTAGCTTTAGTGTGTGTAGCTGAATTCTAGGTCCCAAGTGAATAAACTATAAGGCTAAAGGGCAAATGACTTAACAAAAGGGAACTGGATGATTATCTTGTAAACTAGAAGAGCAATGATATTATGGCTTAATTAGGTAGCTTGATAGGAAGCTCGAGTTCTAACTAAAGTCTTAAAACAGTTGCCTAGTCATTTGCAAGATGCTGGAATGGTTTAATTTATGAGAAAAAAGGAAAAGTACCAAATGGCTGCTGACATCTAAGAGATGAGACACAGGGAAAACAGAAATGCTGTAATGGCTCACACATGGTTGCAGGGGGAAAGCATCAGGGAGAATGATTTAATATAGTGATTATAAACACTAATAGAATGAACAAGGAGTGTTTCATTAGTGATCAGGAAAATTGCATTGACAGGTATTAGATACCCATATGATCAGGGAATGAAGACTAGGGAGATGCTGGCCTTAATTGGACACAGAGCCAGAGACTGCTCTAATCAGTAGATATTTTTGGTTTCGACCTTAGGTCAATCATTAGGTTTTCACATGGCCTTGATTTTTATCACTAGAATACAGATTATGTTGATGTCTCTTGTTTTGCCTGAACTATTTGAGTACAGTTTAACTCTTTTACCTTGAAGTTCTATTTTTTCTTTGAATCTTCATAGATAACTTGACTCTCCTTCTCTAGTTAGTAACTTCAGCAACTCACATTTTTATTTTGTCTCTGTGGTACCAAAAGCAAGTACAGATGAGGTGTGAAGAATTCACTTAATTTATCATCTGGATGTATAGTTTCTATCTCAGTGATTAGCAGGCTGCTTCTAGGTATCTGATTATTAACCAAGGTCCAGAATATACATCTTGGGGGTGAAGCCATTGAAAGTCCCATGGTAACTCCTTTTTTTTTTTTCTTGAAGGACACAGCTTCTAGGCCACACATAGTTATAGGGTAGCCCAGACAAACTTATTGGTTCAACTCTGGATTACAGCAGAAATCTTTGTAAATTGCTTT